TCACTCTCACTAGGAGGAAGAGATGTGAACTAAATCAACGTGCACCGGCGTCACGAAAATTAAATAAACGATGACTTTATAAAAGTTATCAATTTTCGCTCATAATGGTCTTTCAAAATGTTGTCCAATTAAGAAAAGCAATTTTTGTTTTCCTGTAATGCTGTTATATTGTAATTTTTAAAAACTAATAAATTTATATCCAGAACTGCAGTAAAATGAGGATGCCTTGGGATCACAAAGTAGTTCCTGCCTGCAGTGGTCTCGGCTGAGGTAGGACCGGCATGTTAAGAGTACTAGCACTTACCAATATTTTCACAAGCAACCTTTTTAATAAAAAGCATCTTAGAAAAACTTCAGCTTTGTTAAATTTTTTTGCTTCAGTGGGTGATAAATGGATAGCTCATTTTTTACTTAAACAATGCTATGATCTTCAACAGTAACACTTACTATTTTGATGTTATCCTTTTATAGGATAACTCCTTTTTATCCCTTTGTTATTCATTTGGTAATCTCAATGTTTGGATTACGCAGAGTAATAAACCAATATACACATTTAACACATGGACTGCTCTCATTGCAAACAATTATTATATAAACGCCGCCAAATTGCTAATGACGCGCGAATGTATTGTTTTCAATTGGACTATAAATAGACTACTGATAAGGTTCATTTCATCTTCGTCTTGAATGGGGCCATTTTGAAAACGGATCAACAAATATTGTAAAGATACTAATTAAATCCAATTCCAGGCACTCTGTTCTTACCGCTAAAAGAATTTTTGTCGTTCTCCCCAGCGCTAACATTTTTAGATGGCTGGACATATTCATTAACAAACCCTCAATCATTTAGTAAGCATTAAGCTGGCTTCCTCCCAGAACACCTGTCAGAGTTTAACCAATAAGATCGTGCGTTTGCCTTCTTACCACTCCATTATTAGCCATACCATTACAAACCTACTATATCAATTAATGTTTGCCACGACAGCCCATCAATCAACACGTTACGCTTGGCGGCACTGCTGACAGGCGCATCGAAACTAAAGTCAACTTTAGTTTATTAATGTTAACTTATTCTTCGCCGCCCAAGCAGCAGGAAAACATAACCGAACGGCAACAACCCCAGATTCGACCATACGTTTGAGTTCCAGCTAGCCATGGAACGGCCAACGTTCTTTTATAGTCCCTTCGTGGATCTGAAGCCAAGACATATACCTCCCTATCCTCCACCACTTTCTCCAGAAGTGAAGCATCCAGTTTCTTCATCACCCCGAGTTCCTGTCACAAAACCCAGCACATCTTACAGAATCGATGATATCCTGAGTAGGCCCGATCCTCGCCCGGCAATGGTAAGCCTGCCTACCACCGCTCGTTACAGAACCAACCCCGGCAGTGCACCGTCGCGACTGTATGGTTATGGTCATGACGTCCCATACCTTTGGAGCGCAATGTTACAATCACAGTTTCGAGAAAGACTCAACGGTATGTTAAGCCTTTCATGTGTTATTTTTATGAAACAAACCCATGCATATCCTATCCGCAAGAAAGCATATATCCACGCATGGGTCCGTGGTGGGTGGATTCAAAGTTTTGTCTATCTTGTGCAATTATGATTTGAGCAAAAAGTTTATAGCTTGCGCTTAGAGAAATAATCTCCCCAACAAATTCAAAGAAGGAGCGTTTCCACCAATTGACATAAAAATCGCCATTAGCGTCACTTTGAAGGCTGTCCTTGCAATCGGAATAGACAAAGCCACAGAAAAAAATTTATTTTGCCCATCCTTAAAGAAAATTGCGACTTAATAAAGTAAACCCGAGTGCATATCAAAGCGATAACCTTGCTATAGCTAATATTACACAAGTTAACTAAAAAATCGCAATGTATGCAAAAGAAATGAATATATTTCTGCCGCAACTGAGGCAAACCTCGTAGCTAATAAATCAGCTTTCCTTTAGTTTACCTTAAGCCATCTTTACTTTATTGGGTATTTTATCCCAAGGCTTATCTTCATTACTAATTTGACAGTATTACGATAATAGCTACTATAATCCTTGAGAATAACATATATCCTCTTCATTTCCTCCCCACACTTTCTGTTTGCCCAAAATTCTTCACCTAAACAAACCAAGTTTACACATGGAACGGCATCTTGAAGAACAGACCAAATGATTATTGTGGAAAAAAATTAATAACCTTTCCAAAGAAATTAACCTTTGCAGTATTAACAATTTTTCGGTGCTCGTGCTCGCCGCGATTGCGGGCATTAACAGAGTTGTGATGTATGTGCGGCTTTAGCTAATTACATCATCTAGACAAGCCTAATACCACTAATCCCAAATAACTAAGCTATAAACAATTATTTCTTCTATTTTCCTAGCAGCTCAGAATCATCCAGTCTGTAGCGAAAGGGACACAGACAACAAACGAAAGCACACTCGACCGACATTTAGTGGCCATCAGATCTTCGCCCTTGAAAAAACCTTTGAACAGACCAAATATTTGGCAGGGCCGGAGAGGACACGACTGGCTTACTCCCTCGGAATGACAGAAAGTCAAGTCAAAGTTTGGTTCCAAAACCGAAGGACAAAATGGCGCAAACGCCATGCATCAGAAATGGGTGCAAAACTGAAAACGAACCCGAGTGAGGAACAAGAACTTGACGAGCCGGAGGAAAGGCGGGTAAATGTTCATGTTCAAGACGATGACAGGTTTTAAAGGAACCGATATTGGCAGACTAAGACTTTCGTTTGTAAATGTTTTTGAAGAGAGGAAATAAATTATCAAATTGTAATTGCATGAACTGTAAAAGTCAAGCGACCTTTCCGGCAAATTGCCGGCCGCAAAACATTTCAGGCATCTTCAGGACTTCATTTAAAACTTTAAACAACCTTTGTAATGAAAACCAATAGGCTATAAAATATAATCACGTTATAGCCGCCTTATTGCATTTTATTACCTGTGATGAACTGTATAAATTTGACAATATACTAAGTGGAGGTATTCAGTAATTATATAAGATGATTGGAAATAACCTAACAACAGGAATTGCTGAAACACAACCCACTAAATTTCTGGGAAGTTTTGTTGGATGCGCTTACATATTTGTTTTGTATGGTATTTTTGGTAATTTTCCATCGTTTACTAATTGCTTGCAAGCTTTAAAATTTTTATGACATGGCTTATTAAAACCCTCACAATTCTTTCTGCTGATTTCTACGACACGAATATCGTCGGTTATTGCTTATCCTACTGGCTGAAGTGAATTTTTATTAAAGTGCTTGAAAATATTAAAAGAAAAAACGTGACGTTGAAAATATCTTATTTCCATCTTGTTTACAAAATTTGTTTTAATTTTTGAACACCTTCTGTTGACGTACGCTTAAGTTGCCAATAAACAAATTTAAAAGATCATAATATCTGTTTGAGAATGTCAGTGATGTATACAAGTTTTACGATTTCGGAATATGTGGCAGTGGCCTTTAAGATATCGACAAGGCTCACACGGATTAGGAATTTGTCCAGTAAATAATGAAAGGAGCTTGTTTTTAACCAGCTGTGAATAATATGCGTCCTCTGATCAGTCAGAAAATGAACACTTGCCAATGTTTCAATAGTAATTTCTGAGTTTCTGGTGGCCAGCTTGTTATAAGCGATAATGGACAGGTGGCAGGACGAGTTGATAATTAATCAGCCTAAGCAACTCTGTGGGTTTTGAATAACGTTACCAAACTAATAAAATGTTAAATAATTTACGTTGCTCAAATATAGTTGGCCACAAACTTGTCATTTCAAATTCATGACTCGTTCAAGATAACTCAACTTAAAAAGACAGACGCTCCGTTGTTCAACTGTTTTGGGCGGCTGGCTCAGACACTTCGATCGTATTTCCTTAATTATGACCGCACCTTTTTTGTCAAATTGAATGTGCCTTAATTTTCTCCAGTTTGAATCTTTTAAAATACATTTAAAGGAAAAGGCAAGAGATAGGCTGTTTGTATTGGGATAACTAGAAATTTTTGAAATTTTTCCTTGAAAAAAGCAAGTAACATTTAGACATATCTAAAAATGTTATATGAAGGTGGCTTTATATATAAACGAGAAAAGAAGCTACCGTATCATATACATTCTACTAGTAAGAACGCTGACGAGTTATTGAGTGTAGGCACTAAGTGTCAAAGTCAGTCCAAATTTTAAATAGAGATTTTTTTTTACTTAAAACTTTCGATTAGGAAGAGTGACAAGAAAACATTTAAAGATTTTCAGATAACTCAAGACCACAAACTAGTATCTTTTGATGTGAAATCACTGTTCACCAGTACTTCACTTCAACTGGCTCTAGACTGCATTGAGAGCGCTATTAAAACTCTACTGTTGAACTACCACTACCAACAGACGACATTATGGACCTACTCAACCTCTGCTTAACTTTGAAGGACTTTCAGTACAACGGCAAACAGTGCAAACAGTTAAACGGTAACAGCTATGGGCTCTCCAGTTTCTGTTGTTGTAGCAGAAATCGTTATGCAAAACATCAAAACATCGAGGAACAAGCCCTAGCTACTTATAGGCGAACTATTGCTGCACAATCGCGGCACCGAAGAAAGCCCTCTTTCATGTTATTTCTCTACTCGGGGATCTGGTGATCTAGATGAATCGTTCCGAGAGCATTTAAGACATTTCATGATCAAAGTCCCGTACACATTAGAATTCTCACAATGTTCACAGGGAATTTCGGAGTGAAAGGTGGTGGACGTTTCATGACTATTACTTTCTGTTTCCTGACTGTCGTTTTCAGTGTCGTTGTCGCTCTCTCGGGTGTCTTCAGCTTCACTGCCATTCTCAGAAGCCACTTCCTCCTCCTCCTGATATTCAATATCCGATGAACTCTCCTCATTATTACTCTCGTTCTCGGAAGTATTTTCTACATTTCGGTGGCCTTTCCCCTTTCTATTAATTCGCTTAGCAACTTTTTGTTCCTGATTAAACCTTTATCGATACCTAACTATGCAAGTCCATCTAGAAACATATTCAGCGCACGAGGCTTGGTAACTTCATTGTTATGAGGGAGTAACACATAATCAACTAGCTCGGCGATGTTTGTGACGGGAATTATACGTTTATTTCGAAGTAATTGTCCGCGGGGAGTCCAGAAAAGAATGTCTTTGGAAGCAGCCATACTATGCAGCAGATCAGAAGCACGCTTTTCAGACACCGCTCGGGAAAGATGACTCAAAACATCTTTTATTCTTGGTTCTTCATCTTCGCTTTCATCACCGGAACTTTCGCTTTCTTTATGTTCACTCTCGTGCTCTTCTTCAACCAAATCTATCTTTTTCTTCATTTTTTGACTCTTTTGGTCAGCGGCGTAACGGCGGTTGGTTATAATCTTATCTGCTCCGCCATGGATACTGATGATCCTGATGAGCTTGCTGCCTTATTTGACAATACATTGGGTTCCCTGCTGGGTCGTCATGCTCCCGTTAAGCATAAGTATACTACTAGTCGACCATGTGTTCCATGGATGAACGACGAAATTAAATTGGCTAAACGACAAAGGAGGAATTAAGCTGAAAAAAATGGAGAGCTTCTAAAGCACACATCGATTTACTGTCTCACCGTACTATGAGAAATCGTGTGACGTTTCTGAGTAACAAGGCTCGTAGTGACTATTATACAAACTTCATAACTGAGAACAGCACAGACCAGAGGAGGTTATTTAGAACAAGCAAGTCCTTGCTAAATTTATCGAAAGGTTCTGGCCTTCCATTATCTACCAATTATTATCAGTTGGCTTATGATTTTGGCAAATTCTTCGCCCAAAAAATTGCTGATATCAGGTCTGTAATACGAACCAGATCTGCCTTCCTATCAACGCAACTAGTACTGTGACTGCTTCCTGTTTTTCAGAATTTAATCTGTTGTCCGAATCAGAGGTGTTTGATCTAATCACAGCTTCGGCTAAGAAGTCTTGTCCTCTTAATCCTATTCCAACCAAGCTTCTTAATGAGTGCGTCGATGTGCTACTGCCTCCTATCACCAAAATAATTAATCTTTCGTTTGATTCTGGTTATTTTCCGCGCACCTAGAAGTGTGCTCTAGCGCGGCCGCCGCTGAAAAAGGATGGATTACCCCCCGCCCCCCCCCCTCTTTAAGAACTTCAGACCAGTGAGTAATTTGGCATTTATCTCAAAGCTCGTTGAGACTGTGGTTGCCAAGCAACTACAACATTATTTAAATTGTAACAATCTGTTCCTAGTGTTCCAATCAGCTTATCGACAAAAACACAGAACAGAAACTGCACTGCTTAAGGTTATGAATGACATTCTCTTGAACATGAACAATCAGTGTGTTACTTTGCTAATTCTGCTCGACTTGAGTGCTGCCTTTAATACAGTTAATCACGACACCATGCAACGTGGACTTGAATACTCATTTTGTATACAGGGAAAAGCCCTCTCCTGGTTTGCATCCTATTTGTCTGCAAGAACTCAGGGGATAATGATCAACGAGTCACCATCTAAACCTTTTAAATTAGAATGCGGCGTGCCTCAAGGTTCATGTCTTGGTCCGCTATTGTTCACGTTGTACACGAGTGAGCTTTTTGAGATAATTAAATATCATCTGCCCATGATTCACTGTTACGCTGATGATTCACAAGTTTTGATCGCATTTAGTCAGAACGACGGAGCTGAACTACTTACTGCGGTGAGGAATATGGAAGACTGCATCAGAGACATTCGTTCTTGGATGTTGAATAATGATCTTAAATTTAATGACGACAATACTGAATTCCTCATCATTGGTTCATCACAACAGCTGGAAAAGTTAGATAATACCAGTATACGTGTGGGTGACTCAGATATTCATCCCGTGCCACTCGCGAGAAATCTTGGTTGTTGGTTTGACTCTAGTCTGTCCATGGCATCACAAATCAAAAAAACCTGTGCCTCTGCATTTTACTGTATTTTAATGTTCGTCGGATCAGAAAGTATCTTTCACGGCAGTCAACTGAGATACTAGTTCATGCATTCATAACAAGTCGCCTTGACTATTTGCAATGGTCTTTTACATGGACTACCAGACTGCTTGTTGAATAAACTGCAACGAGTAGAGAACGCTTGCGCCAGACTGATTTTTAGAGAACAGAAATTTGGTCGTGTAACGCCTCTTATTTATGAATTACACTGGTTACCGAATAAATGTAGAATCGAGTTTAAAATACTTTTACTTACTTTTAAGATTCTTAATTTTTTAGTGCCTACTTATTTATCGTCTCTCATTTTTCTTAGGCTTCCATCTAAATATAATCTAAGGAATTCTAGTGATAACCTTTTACTTAGTTATCCGCGTTTTAAATCTAAAGCTACACTAGGTAATCGTCCTTTTACCGGTGCTGCACCGAAACTGTGGAATGCGTTACCATTTGACATAAGAAGCGCCATCACAGTTAGTATTTTTAAAGCCAAGCTAAAAACTTACCTTTTCCGTCATGCATTGTTATCATAGTTGTTTTTATTATTGTGAGTTTACTTTTAATTGTAATTTTAGCTTTTTAAGTCATTGTAAGTTTACTCTTAATTGTAATTTTAGCTTTTTAGACTTTTTATTTCGTTTTTAATCTTGTCATGCGCATTTGAACATTTTATGGAATTTGCGCATTATAAATGTTTTACTATTATTATTGAGCACCGGTGATAAACTTTGCGATACGTCACCTCTTTTATAGCATTAGAAATCCTAAGCTTGAAACAACAGGGGCCAAAAAGTCTTTAATAAAACCTCTACCCTCTTGTACAAATACTCCCTTCTTTGTTTTGTAGGGGACATCTGGTCTGGCCTGGTCAAGTAAAGCATCCTTATATGACTGAAATATCCGCTTATTTTCTTCGGGGATGGAAATGTGTCCCATAAGTATATTGTATAAGACTTGGACTAGTGCATGTAGATGTTGTGGAGTGGCTGTCTTTAAAAGAAACTAGCGCTGATGAACAGGGCAATCAGCTGACAGCTGAAGAAAACCACGATTGTTGTTTACTACACGAGACATTGCCACCAAATGAACTCATGATGGCAGTTCGGAGTCTTTTATAAAATCTCCTGGAGAAAAAAAATGAAACGAGTAGGAGGAGGATAGAAAACAATTGAAATTTGGTGACGGTGGTGGTGGTGGTGAAGGATAACAATAGAAATGTGGTGGCGGTGGCGGTGGCGGTGGTGGAGAGAAAACAATAGAATTTTATGACCTGAAAACCTATATAAAAGCGCAACATTTTACCTCTTTCTCAGTCCCTATTGCAACAAGCTTCAGAGACAATTTACCCTCCCACGGAGAGGATTGTTTGGTGTTATTCACAATGGCAGCCTGCGTATACAGAAATGCTAGTCGCCATTCCACACATTGAATTCGTCAAGGGAATTCCTACGCCTTCGGGGCAGGATTCCTATTTTGATGTGAACAAACAGAATTTGATCGTATTTGCTGATCAAATGATTGACGCCAGTAAAGACAAGCGAATTGTGAACCTCTTTACTCGTGGTTCTCATCATCGTAATCTAAGAGTGATTTATATCGTGCAAAATCTATTCCATCAGGGGAAAGGCAGTCGCAGCCTAAGCCTAAATAGCCATTGTTTGGTGTTATTCAAGAATCCACGAGACAAATTGCAAATCTTGACTCTGGCTAAGCAAATGTATCCCGGGCAAACTGATTTCTTTTTAAATCAGTACGAAAGGGCTGTAATCAGCTATCTGCTGATTGATCTGAAAACTACTACCCAAGATAATTGTCGACGTCCTTCCCAGTGAAGAAGGCTTTTACCAAGCAGGGTTCAAGAAAATATTCCTCAGGAGCTTCTAAAATATCTAAAGCAGCAAAATCTTTCGCCTGTCCCGCTTCTTTCAGCTATGCAACAAATACGGGGCAACAACGATGACATGCTTTCTCGAAACGATCTTCGGGACGATGAGAAGGTTAAGCGATACTTTCAGCTGCAAAACAGATACCTGGCTTTTAAAGAACAATTAAATACAAGAACACGACCGGAAGAAATAATCAGCGGTGTTCCAGACTTAACATCAAGCACACATCTTCGCTAGCAACGACAGCATTATCTACTCCCCTCAACCCCTTCAACGTAACACCTCTCAAAAACCTGAAAAAGAAATCCTCACCCCACCACCACCCTTAAATCCTGCTTTCCTGACCCCTCCTCCCACAGTAGAAACGCCATCACAACAAGGCCCGAATATCATAATGCCCACGGCAAACAGATGAGGAAACGAAGTAGGCATAAGAAATTTCGAGTCAAAGCTAACAAGTACTCCATGGGTGAAGAAGATAAGGATTAATTAATTTCCATCCCTTACAGATCGCTGTGTCTTTTACACTCTTTTTGTCATTGGTTTTTAATTAAGTTTTTAAAACGGTTTCTCGTGTCTGGTTCTATTGCTAACAATTATTAGTCGCGTGTTTCAATTGATCCTTGTTAAGTTGTTAATTGTTTTGTGTTTTTATAATAATAAGTCAAGGCTGTAGAGCCAATTTGTATGCAAATGACAGCTTGTAAACGCGCATAATTAACTGACTAACGGCGCTCCGCTGTAATGGTGAAAGGCATCGTAACAAAAAAAATATACAACCTCTATTAAATCTTTAGTTCGATTCTTTTTCCTCCAAAATTAAGCTGCAGAAAGCTTTGACGAAAAGTGGTGGGCTTTATGTTCAAAGAACAACGGGCTTGCTAAACTGTCCGAATGGACCTTATGGTGTTGTGACGTCATTACTAGTCCTTGCCTAAACATGGTTAGCATAAATTAAACAAGTTTCCCGCGCATTTTATTTATGACGCATTTATTAAATTTTACTTCCCACTTTTACTCCCCCAAAAAACTGCTCATTCTCCTCAGACACCACTTCCGACAGCCGAAAATTTCACAAACAGTAAACGACTGTTTAACTGTGAAAATAGACGGATCGCAACACACCATCAACTGACGTGATTCAACTCACTTTGACTCTGAAGATGACTACTGCACAGGTTGTCGAAACGTCAGTCACTGTCAACAATAGTAGTCCTATTTCGGACTACGTTCATCCGGACGATGATACTCAAACCTACTTTTAGAAGGAGTTTTCAGTTAGATAGCTATAGGGCTGACGGAAAACCTCTTTTTCAAATGCTTTGCTCACCAAATAAATGGGGCGATAGCTTTCAAGTTGCCGCCGATCACAAGATTTAAAAGGGGGGGGTTACGCGTGCGCATTTCCATTCATCTAATGTCGGTCATATGGACCAACTGGTTAAAGATGAACGTCAGTGAAGGTGCATGATACTCGCTGATAGTTTAAGAATTGGCATGAGTTTTATCCAAACCAATTGCTTTGGATGGTTTTAAATTTCTTAGAGTTAAGAGAACACCATCTATTAGTGAAATGCACTCGTGAGGATAAGTAAAACCTTCATTTATTTTGTAAAATACGGCTGACCCGCTAAGTAGCCGAAACACTAATCGAGGCGGGTCAGCCACAGATAAAATGAATTTATATTATTTACATATAGCATATGCTAAAGTTAACAGAGCGTTGGAAAAGAAAAAAAAAGGTAACAAAAAATTATAACTTTATATCAAACGAAATGAGATATAACGCTACGGTGGCCCAGAAGAGTCACACATGCAAATTAAAAATGTTACTACAAACTAAAAATTTTACCTGCAAATTAAAAATGTTGCTGCAAATTAAAAATAGGACATGCAAATTAAAAATTGTTTATGCAAACTAAAAATATTACAAACATGAAACATAAATGGGCCGACGGCCGTAAGGCCAGGTGGCACGGCTCAGACCAGGTCCTGATCACTAATACTGCGCGCGCAGGAATTTTCATTTTTAATTTGCATCGATATGTTTTCTATTTTCAATTTGCAGCACAATTTTTAGTTTGCATGTACTATATTTAATTTGCAGGTAATATTTTTAGTTTGCATGTACAATTTTCAATTTGCAGCAACATTTTTAATTTGCATGTGTGACGCTTCTGCGCCACCGTATAACGCAGACTTCAAAGCTGTTTAAATCTAGAGGCAATAGAAAGCGTTCAACATAATTATCCTCAAACAATAGAATATCTAAAAGTTGTCGATGAATTGCCCCCCTTAAATTTATGTTTTGATGATGAACGAATATTAAGAGGAATACAAATCCACGCCTTAGCACTAATGCGAGAAAATGACTTAATTCTCTTCTGTGTTCTCGAATTCTGAATGGCGAAAGTGCCAACCCGAGAAAACCTAGTGTTATAACGATGTTATAATGTTTTAGTAAAATCCAACTAGTGGTCTATTATCAATGCTGCGTTCTGATTGGTTGAGCTACTACTAGGCTATATGCTATAGCCCATTGGTAGCCAAAAGCGCTGGCTTTGAAAACCAAAACAATGGCGGCTGAATCGCGCTTTGCTACTACAGCAGTTTTGTCTTGATATTTTTGACCAACTAGTTGGATTTTACTAAAACAATTATCCCTCTCGCCCTCATGGGCTACTGACTCAGAGTCCATGAGGGCTCTAGGAATAATTGTTAAATAGTATAGTGTTATAATGAGGATTGGTCAGCATCATCAATTACCAGTGGATCAGTATTATTACACTGCTCGTCGCCATACTCTACCACAAGCTTCGCCTCGGGGGTTTATAAAATAGTCATTCAAAGCTTCAGCTATAGTTTTAGAATCCTACACTACATTTCCATTAACCGAAAGCACCCTCACATTGTTCAGTTTGTTATTTCTCTCCCAGTTTTCACTAGGATCATTAAACTTGAAGCATTTGCCATTAAATCTAACATTACGCATTTCAATGTTTACTTTGTTATGCAATTTTTGAAAATTCTCCCAGTTAGACTGTGAGGCATATTTCATTGCGCGCTTTTTATGATGGGTTTAACAGTTTAGTGATTAATCAGGGTGCACAAGCCAGGCCATTTGGCAGGCACGTGTACTGATAGAATTCACATTTCCAATAAAATGCCTGGAATCTTTGTTATTCTTAATCAACATGAGTAGTGCGCGTTTCTACCTTCCACAGAAACCATTATACAACCAGAGTTACGTCTGACTACTTCATTTTTGTGGCTAATTTAAGTCGGATTCCATTAAAAAGTAGTGATAGACTAAATTAATGTTTCTTGAATTTCTTTGAATTGAATATCAATCGATGAGAGCCATCCGGTTTTGGTCTCACAAAGATTGCGCCCTTTTCCAGCATTTCAGCCCTTTTGGATGACTTATTTGATGTTGGATGTTATTCGTAGATTCTATTTGACATTCTTTCACCATGTTGCATTCAAACCGAACGGGACATTAAAGATTGATTTTGAAAAATTTCTTCTTCTAACTATTTGCTCTCTAATAAGTATTGCAATTATGGAGAATGATTGACGTCTCTACAACCTGCTTGAAGTTGACAGGTGCCACTTTTTAAATTTGCGTGTTGTAGATAGTATGATATGCCCATGACTTCAGAATGTTGCTTGCACGAACAGTAAAGATCTACGAAGTTCAAACTTGACAAGAAAAAAAAAGGTGTCTAAATTCGTTATATCGACTAAACTGACCAAAGGTGATTCGGTACGGTGTCGTATCACAAATTTTACAGCAGCCTTCGATGTTTTTTTTTTAATTTAAAGAATTAAAATTCTGAGTTCATTGAAGCGATATTGCCTCAAATGTTTGGGTTAGGGTCTGACAGACTGTTATTCATTATTTTCATATCGCGAGTGTCATTTAGAACCCACAAAAAGCAAAATATTTTACAAAACATATTTCCTTAAGGACGAGGATGATCATTTAATACTATAAAGTCACTAAGGTTAACACCCGTTTCTTGTTTATGGTTTCGAGTTGGTCAAACATAAATATTGAGAGAAAAACGATCGCCGTCGCTTTATTATTGACAGCACCGGTGTAATATCAGTGTTCAGGCTTATCCCTTTACGTATCAGCCGATTCCCAACATAGCCCTTGACAATAAACATTACATAAAGGCAGTACTTATTATCTTGTGTTTATCTCTAAAAGCCAGGGCACCTCTTTCAGATCCTCGCAACACTTGTGTTATCCTTTTATATATTCATAGCTTATTTAGTCACTAGATTGCTTAGGGAGTATCTCATTTCTTACTTCGGCCATTTTTATTTTGAATAGGCCACCCGCCAAGTAAGCTGCTGCTGCCAATAAGAAAACTAAGAGTCTAATCAGTTTGACACACGTGGTAGTTAATGGACAGTTTAATTACCCAATCTTCTATTGAATAAATTGCTATCAACATTGTCTTGAATTTTTGAACTTGATATTGTGCACACTTAAAAGCATAACACCTGAACTGCTGGCTGTTAATTGTGAAAAACAAGTATTTTAATGTAAGGGTGCGGAAGTTCACTAAAAATTTATTTCCCTGTGTCAACCAGAGGTTTATTATTCTTACACAAGTTCAAAACTAACTATCTTTAAATTTATGAACATGAACAACACGGCTATGGAAAATGTGGAGATCTTTCCTGCGACACTTTCATTAGTGGGAAACGTTATAGCTGTTATTGGTAATATTTTGGTGTGCCTTACAATTTACAAAAGTTCGAGGCTGAGAACTCATACAAACGTTTTTATTGCCGCAATGGCTATTATTGGACTCCTTTTCGCCGTCTTCGTTGGACCTGCGATTACAGTGACGCTCTTTGCAGGAAGGAAGTGGGTTTTTGGACAATATTTTTGCAGTTTTCATGGCTTCATGAGCCTTTTTATCGAGTTTGCAACTCTTCACACTATAGCACTAACAGCATTCAACAGACATTGCCGCATGTTAAAAATACAGCTATACAGGAAGATATTTCAATCAAGAAGGAGATCTTGTGCCATATTGATTCTGGTGTGGTCTGCTCAAATTGCATTTATACTCGTCTTTTCTCTACCATGGCTTGCGAAGTTCAAATTTAGCCATAAGCGAGCCGGTTGCGTTCTAGAGTTTAGGAGAAAAGGGGGAGAATTAACATATTCCGTGATTAAAACCATCTTTTATTTTTGCGCAACCAATATAATAGTAGTTTACTGTTACACGAAGGTTTTCCTTAACATTCGAAACCACAGTCGCAAAATTTCCTGCGCGCTTCGAACGAGTGACAGAGTTAACATTGAAGAAGTCAAAATAACTCGAACAGTTTTAGCTGTGGTTTTATTTTTTTTGGTTTGCTGGATCCCAGAATACATAATCTCAATAATAATTCGCGTGAATCCAGAACACCTGCACGGGTTCGCCCATCGTGCTGTCGTGTTTTTTCTTTTCTTGAGTTGTTCTCTTAATCCTTGGGTTTATGCGGCCACAAACAGAGAATTTCGAGCTGAGTTCAAGCGCCGGTTGATGTGCAAAGAGAGAAGTCATCACCTGGAAGATACTGAACCGCCACAAAGGACATCTAATATAGAACTGAGACTCGTAAACCAAAACAGAGTGCACGCTCTTTATAGTAACGAGTCTTCGTAACAACAGATAGAATGCCAAACAGAAAAAAGAGAGTTTTCTACGGTAGGCTATGAACTAATTTATCTGACCAGAAATTATAATAAAGTGAGTCTAGAAGGAAACAGCTTCCTGTTTCAGTAGTATAGTAGGGACCGAATTATATTATACGTTTTTTAAGGGGGAAACTCTTTAGCTTGTGCATGAATATTAAAGCCAATGAGATTATAGCCTTTTGTCTTTTTTAGTGGGTGAACAATAAGCGAGGTTTTCAACTGCTGTAAACAATATGCTGAACTGCTCTTACCTCTTTTTCATTTATTAACATTACTGGAAGCTTTAATACAAAATGAGAAATGGTATGTGATGTAGTCATGTGACCAAACATTGCTATGTCTTGTTGAAATGGTTTGAAAGTAAAGTAATAAAAATGCGACTAGGAAAATTTTATCAATGATTAAACACTCAGGAGTGGGTACATTTGATTGCTCCCCTTTTCTTCTCCTGTTCTCTCCCATCCTATCCTTTAAGTTAAGGCCCTACACCTTTGATCGGGTTGTCCTTTTTCCTTTAACAGTCTTTGGTTATCGGCTTCGCTGCGTGGTTTAAATCAGTAGTGTCTCGGCCAATACATAGATGTATTTTTAATGGTTGTTTCATTTGACAGGGATACCTGAAGGCTTCAGGCTAAACTGCGTCTTAGTGTATTTAAAATATTGCTACCACCTACTTGAATTTGACAAGCAGATCTTTTTCTAATGATTTTCGACAGTCCACAAGTATCTGGTGAGGGTCAAGAATCAAATGTCTAAAGTTAAATCTTTCTTGTGCCTAATGAAAATACGTCAAACGCAGTACGGAAATCAAGTGTAAACTGCAGCACTGTTAAACGGAAAGGAAAGATATAAAGCCTGGCTGCCGTAAGCATCTCACGTTAAGCCTTCGTCCTTTTGTCGGCTGGGCTAAGTCGGCTACGGTCGAGCCTCCTTGCGCCGTAAGCTAACCGTCACCAAACTGCAGTTCCAGAATTTTACCGCGAAGGCTTTATATAATCCGCAGAAGCTTATAATAATCTTCCTTTCAAGCAGACAGTAAAACAAATCAAGAGTAAAATCAGCCACAATTTATATATATATATATATATATATATATATATTTCGCATTTGAGCAGTGGAAACGAATTGTAACAAGTGAATTTTAAAAATGCCTTTGTTCCTGGATCCTTGACGGTGCTTGAAGTTCTCCTATTATCCCATAAACACAAATGTAGTGATCCCAAAAGCAACAAAGTATCCAAACAAAGAGATTTAACTCAACCTATTTCATTGCAAACGTAACATGGCCGCCGCTATCAAAAGCACATGGTTTTGCTATCCCAGCATACTTAGCAGCCTAATGCATTACATCTCTCCTTTCCTCAGAAAAATGCTCCTTTACATGAAAAAAGAAATCTCCACTAACAATAAAGTCAACTATACTAGGGATAAAGTCTCTTCTTCTAAAATGCCCAAATGTTCAAATTGTACATAGTTCTGAAGAGAGAATAAGTGTTCATGTTCCCCAAAGAAAATAAACAACAAAGTCTCTTAATCTCTCTGGCAATCTCCTTGTCCTCTGGGGACTCAAATTCCTTGATGGCTCTGGTGCCGCTCCAACATTCTCCGGCAGATCAGGACACTCCCCTCTATCCAGCAGCCCGGCAGTCGATTCTGGTACGGTTGGTTGGTAAGGTGATGGCACAGGGTCTAATTTCTGGGGGTGTTGAAACAGAGTCTGACCCTTGTTGGGGGGGGTCTCCCTCTCTAATGTATTAGTTCACATGACCTGTGTTTCTGGAGTACTGGTTCCCTGTTGGACTAATGGGGTTTGGGTTGAATGCAGTGCTGAGTCTCTCTGAGTGTCTTGTTGGACAAGAACTTTATCACCCAGTTCAATGCTTGAGGGACTGGCCCTGCGGTGTAAGCTTTACTCTTAGCTTTCTGTTCAGCATCGCGATCATGTACTTCATGGTCATAAGCATGGTCGATGCTTAAATCAGGGATCTTCCCCTTGACTTTTCGGTTAAACAATAGCTCAGCGGGACTCCTTCCAGTCGTATTTTGAGGAATGCTTCTATAGGCAGTGTGATATTTCCTTAATTCTGCTCTCCATGGTTTGTTCTCTGCCTGAGCAATTTGTAGTCTCTCAACCTCTCCGTTGGTTTGGGCCCACTTGGCAGCCCGGGGGGGTACTCGGGATTTCAAGTGACGGGGATGATCGAAGGATTTTTTGGGGTTTGAAATTTTTGATTCCGGGATTTTTTTGGGTACGAAAATTTGGAAAGTATTTTTTTGGGTAGCTTGATTTGAGTAGGGATTTTTTGGGGGTATTAAAAAGAATCCGTAGTGCCCTGGCTGCGTAGTTTTGCGAATAAAGTACAAAAAAACGTGTTTTTTTCTGCTGTTCAATAGTTAACTATGGTGTCGCTTTACATCGCACGTGTTATACAATAGTCTGCATTGTCCCGTGGTGCCCGGCCGTGTACAAGACTTCAACC